ACGTTGTAGTGAATATTTAAGCTCAGAATTAGTAATGGGAATGAAATCATTAGTCTCATCCAAACATTAGAGTTATCAATTTTCTGATTCCCACATAGCTACCAACAGCACAGTAGTACTATATAGATGAAAACATTTTACATAGTTCTTTGTGAGTGATGGTATTCAAAATAAGGAACCAGATATGAAAGATATATATTTTGATTAAATGACACTTATTTAAAAGTTGACATTTTAATCAGTAAGTTACAATGGTTATAATCCTATCTCTAGCATTTCACGGTAACAAAATTTGTATGTTACACAATATTAAAATGGCCTTAATTTTCCACATCTGATGTAATCCTGGATCAAGTCTGTCAGCCCCAGCGACTCTGGTCCCATTTCTCAGCCCAGACACTTCATTCATTATTGGGGAAGTCCACTTGCCACTACCATATGTAACAGTAAGTAATGGCTTCCAGGCGAATCAATAAAAACTGAACATAGAAAGCCACTGTTTCGCTCCTCCATGTTGTTCTTCTCATAACCTGATCCGCTCACGAGAAGTTAATGAATCCGCTGTTCAATGTCTCATTCTCCCTAAAACCTTTCTCTGTGAGGGAGTTGTGGCAATAACAAAATGAGAAACAGTGAGGATTGCATGACCCCGTCCTTGGCCTCATGCTCTTTCTTATCTCTGTTTATGTCTTATCTGTCTCTCTCCCCAAGACTATTTTCCTTCAATTAAAAATGTCTGCACCGGGGGTGAAATGAAGTTGCCCTTTATATTCCCAGCCCAGCAACAAAGCACCTGGGAGGTTAGGTGTACCAAATGAGTACCTCATCACCCCAAAATATCTTTTAAGACAGCAAACGCCGGACTAATTTACACTACTGAACCTGGTATATGCACATCCGGAATACAGTAGGGACCATTTAGATCACCAGCTGAGTAATGTATGATGACCTTCTGTCAATATCAATAATATTATGTAGCAATTCTAATTCATTAAAATAACCTAGCCTGGAATGTTTAATTGCTTAGTAGCTGGGATGGTATGTGGACATAAATTTGAAATAAGCAGATAATGGCCATAATATTAACATTGCTGTACTAGCTGAAACCTATTTTTTTGGGGGGGGGACAACTATTTCTACTTGATGCAGTTCATTTAATCTTAAACATTCATTGAATTCCTACCATTTTCCAGATACTCAGGGTACAAAGATGAATAAGTAGAGGATCCCCTTTGAGGCATCCACACTCTAGTTAGGGAGAGAGCCATGTGAAAAACTGATAGTTAAAGTACAATCTATTAAGTGCAAAAATAATTTGGGGCTGTAGAAGCAGGAAATGGGAGAGATCAGCTGCCTGGCAGGGTTATGCCATTTCAGTCAATGAGAAATCATTTAAAAATTATCACCTGAAATACATTAATTTTAAAAATTAATAGACTCCTTAAGTAAATGTACTACTCTTTAGTTGTGTTATCATTCCCCCCCTAATAAAACTGCTAAAAGCTACAATGGCTCTCTATTAGATATTATTTCATTCACATTTAACATTTAAAGGACCCAGTCAAATAGGATCTGTTTACAGACCTCCTTCCTGGCCAAGGCAAAAGTTCTTTTTTAAAGAAATGTGTATTCATGTTCTCTGCCACCCCTCAATGATGAAGTACACATGATCCAACCCAGACCTCTTCTCCACTGACACATTTTAAGGACTCACACTCTAGGCACTCAGGTAGTAAATAGTATGATAAGTTAGGCACACTGCTAACACGCATTTTTAAAGTGACTGTATTATTAAGGCACACAACTGCTTCGCTTTATGACAATACCTGGTAATCAAAAGCATTTGGATTCTGGTGATTGCTATTATTAAATTTCTAAAGCGTAAGTGAGAATATGCATGATTTAAAATTTGACTCTCGCATTAAGTCCTCATAATCTTTGAGATATCAAAGAAAGAACTGAAAAATATTTGTCTCTGCACAGTTTCGTATGCACTATAAACGTGTAAATGAGTGGTATGAGTAACAAGAGATGTAGGCATCTTGACAAAATATCCATTCACAGCAAAATAATCCACATTTTACTTGGCTATGTCACAATAGCTTAATGGCCTTGGATGAGACATCCAAAGTCTCTGAATCTCCTATGTGACAGATGAATGGACTATTTATTTGGGGGGGGGGTAAACTAAATTAATGGAACTGAACTAGATGCTCTCTAGAGTTTCTCTGGGCTTAAACATTATGAAAGCTACTAAAAAGTGCCTTTTAGAAATTTTCTGTACCCTTTCATCCCAGGTTTTGAAATGAAATCCCACTGTAAAATCATTTCCAGATATCTGGAAAACCTAATCCATTCCCAGTGTAAGATACCAAGGCAGTTAACAATTAAGCTGTTATTAGTGATTCATGTGTTCTCAACCGTCACTTGCTAGGCCCTATTATTTTAGCGTCACAACCATGACCTGTAAATAATACAGGTATTTGAGAAACTCATTAACTTGTATAATGCTGAGGTACAGTTTACCGTATCAGACAAAACTACTAGAGAAATCCCGGTAGGAACACATGTGTTCCTAAGCATATAAAGCCTCAGCACAGTAGAAAGTATCTGAAAGGGTAGGACACCTCTTCTTTCAAAACATTCCCAGGTGAAAAACTTTGGAAATGGCATACTGAAATGAAAATGGTCCTTCACACTTATGACCTAAGATGTTTTCAATGGTAACAATAGACTTATCTAGATCTACACATCAAACACGTGCACATGCCATATTTGTATGTGTCTGTGTGTGTGACCTCACCAGCAGAGCCAAAGTGGTTACCGTAAATAAAAAGCACATTGTCAAGAGAATCATTACAAAAAGCCCACGGAGGAAAAAAGAACAAGGAGCCCAAAAAGTAAGTCAAGCTAGTATCAAACTAGAATTACACAATTCAGAAAACATTTTGAGTAATAACCTTACATAAGGCTCCAAAACCACTCAAAAGATACTTTAAGGGCACCTGGGTGGCTCAGTTGGTCAAGTAACTGCCTTCCGCTCAGGTCATGATCCTGGAGTCCTGGAATGGAGTCCCACATCGGGCTCCCAGCTCCGAGGGGAGTCTGTTTCTCCCTCTGACCTTCTCCTCTGTCATCCTCTCTCTTACTCTCTCTCTCTAATAAATAAAATAAAATCTTAAAAAAAAAAAAAAAGATGCTTTAAGAGTAAAATAAAATAGTGAAAGTAATTGGCAGAGGGATCTACAGGGGAAAAGATAAGCTTGGGTTATAGGGAAAAAAAGCATTCTCACATACTATGCATCTTAATGAAGGGTAGAGGATAGAAAAAAATGTATTATTCTGTACTTAGGCTATGTAGGTCAAGTTACTGAAGCTCAAGACAAATGGACAGGGACTGAAAATTTGTTAGAATGTTCCTTTTCATCATCCATTCCTTCTTCTATCCCAGCACTAAAGAAGGGAGACAGCCTCCAAACAGAAACCAAAAGGAGCAACGCAGAAGGGCAGTGTTCTGGTTGAGGAAAAAATGGAAGACCTGGAGGGAACGGGGCTGATCTGTGTAACATTATGAATGACTCAGAGTAAGCTCAGCTAGAGTAGAAGTTCCTTCTCAATCTGATTTTCGCTTGCTTTAGGAAGGGGAGTTACTACATCACATGGTGACTCTGGCAGAGAACAGTTAAGGATTTGAAATGGTCTTGGATAAATTCATGAATGGCTGAGAGACGCTGAGATGAGTTCCTATCCTTTACAGTTGACGTCAGAGAGCAGAGCCCTCCCAGACTCCGCTAACTGAAGCAGTTTGAAATGCTGGGGGATAGGGGGCAGGGGAAAAAGCCCTACATCCGGCAAGCTCTTATTTTTTTCATGTGATGTGATATAATATATAAAGGTATTTTTTTATTAAATGTACTTCGAAAGGATGAGAAAAATCTACAGGCTGTATATTTCAATCACATTAATTCTCCATTCTGCCCTGTGACTGTCCTTATTTGATGCCTCTATGAAAAAATCTGGATTTGCTCTTCAACAAGGCCCTGACAAATTTTTTGGTATGTAGTGACCAGAGATTTTGCAGAGGTGTTGTGTGTCTTTTCAGATTTTCAAGAGTAGAAACCGTTTCGATAATGAGCAAAATCACAGAACAACTTGTTGCTTCCAGGTAAATGCCATCAGATGTTGAGATTAAACCCAGAGAGCCAGCCTGAGGTCAGAAAACCCTAGAACAACAGATACGCAAGTTTGGCTCCTGCGAGTTTGAGTTACCTAACACAAAACAAACTAGGATGGAGAAGAGAATACAAGGGACTCGCTGACAGCTCAACCAGAAAAAGAATTTAGGTTTGACTTAGATAGGAGACAGCGTTTTGTTAAAGGGCAGTCAATTCCATCTTTGGAATGAAATCGCAATGGGGCAGGATTTCTTTAAAACAGTTACAGCTGTTTGCTAAAAATTAGTTAGCTCCCAAGTCTGACAGAAGGGACTGCCTCATTTTCATTGTTGGACATAAGCTTTCTAGTGCTTATGGCTTCTGAAAGAAGGACCTTTCTTCACATGGCTTCCGTTTGACTTCACTGAACCTGATCTAGACGTGGAGACTGGAGATTGCTATCTGGGGGAGAATAAAGAGAGTGAACTCCGTGTTTAATTAAAAGCAAAACCACTTATACTCATTAAAGCTAACTATCTAACTCATTCTCCTCACATACTACAGTTAGTACTTAATCAAAAGTCTATTTCCCAGCCTATCTACTGACCATATGGCAGAATGGCCTCTCAGCATCGTAGAAACGCTCCACCAAAGCAGAAACGTGCTGTACAGGCATGGTGCATCCACAAGGGAAGGGACCTCAGGAGGCTCTAGCCACCACTTTCGCTGCTTTTGGGAGCAGCACTTATCAGCCAACAATAACCAATCCCATCTCTCCAAAAATCAAAGCTAACAAATTGACCTTCCAGTTTAGAAAAGATTACCAAGGAGTTCAGCAAACCTTACTTCTGGTAGTGGGCTGGCCGGTTTGGTGAGGATTCCTCCTACGTACACAACATTAGGCAGAGTGGGTCTCGGAAACTCCAGCGCCACATCTGTGCACAGCATCCACAGACTGGACCCGTGGACCAGGTCGTACATGGACTTCTCCGGCAGCAGGTTGTACTTCTGCATTATCCTTTCGTATTTGGGAAGAACCAGAAAGCTGACCCCTAATCTCGAAATGAGGTAAACGCCGGTATTTTTCATCCTTTGCAGCAAGTTCATGTGGTCTGTGAGGAGTGAGTTAAACTCTGGGACGTAAGCTAATGGGGCGGGAGCACCCACTTCTGCAGGGTACCAAAGGCCAGTTGAAAATACAGCATATTTAACCCCTAATAGATGAGCTATCACAAATCCACACATGTCATTAGGGTCCACCAGCAGCAGGTCAAACTTCTCCTTCCTCAGACCCTGAATCAGGGCACGGTTGCCAACCATCATATCACAGTTCTTGGTATAGTGATCCAGTATGTCAAACAGTTCGATTGCTGTCAATCTCCCAGAGAAGATATTCCGCATTTTGGACTGCAGGAAAGCATCCGAGGTGGTACTGTTAAAAATCCCTGGGTATCGCTGGAGGCTGTAATGATTAGATGGCGCGATGTCTCTGCCTTCGGAGAGAAGAAACACTGTGCGGTGGCCTCTCTCATGCAAGGCTGAGGCTAGTGTCTTGAAAATGTACATATGGCTTTCGAACATAATTGGCGGCACGATGATGATTTTGGCAGCCTTCGCTATCCCCACAGCACTCCACAGGAGCATGAAATACGGAGTGTAAGACTTCATCGCTGAAAGGAAAACCGGAAAACGACTTAAAACAAAGTACAATCCTTACCATTCAAAACAATCACAGAGGCTTTTTTTTTTTTTTTCAAAGTAGCACGTGATTCGATACTTCCTCTGTGTAAAAGCATTCTGATTTTGTTCTAATTACCTGTTTTTGAAAGATAATTTTTTTAAGTAGAGAACTGACAGCAAAGCTGGCAGAAACCAAAATGTATTTCAAGTGTATCCATTCCTGAACAACAGAGAACAAGATTGTTTTTTGAGAACTAGTTTTGAAAATCTGAAAAAAAACTTCTTAAGATTGAATGTCCAAAGATCTCTCTTCTTTGAATAATCCCCCATCTATGAAACATATCTTTATCTTTTAATTGAATATCAATGTTAATTCCAGAAGGAGAGCCAAGATTTTTGATATCTGGGTACATTCGCATGTATATCTCTTTTTAAATCATTTTATCACAGCAGTTACATTCCCAATTACCACCAAAGCATACCAAAGGAAGATTATGTTTGAAAAAATAGTCCTTTCAAGTAACAGTTCTATAGAAAAGACATTTTTCTACAGGAAAAATGATCTTTAATGTGAATTTCCCCTTTACCTAAATATGCTTATATACCTGGCAGTCTCTATTTACGTAACCTCTATCAATTTGCCAATTCATTTCAGGGCATTAAATGAAAAACTTTCAATAGAAAAATTCAAGACACTTAACCGGATCTCTATAAATGCTTATGGAAGAAGTGATGATGAATGAATTATGTCCCAGACCACACTTCCTTTGTGTTGTATCTGTAACTCAGGTGCAGAGGGCAAGACAGATGATGACACCTATCACTTTTCCTACCCTTCCATGGTAGTAGAGTAGGTACAATAGTTAGTTTCATTTTTTAGAAATACATGTCCTACCTATGGGGCCTCTACAGTGTGCCACCTCCCTCTACCTAACCCAGGATAGTTTTTACTTACGCTCTAAATTAGCCTCCAAGAACAGCAAAGACCTGAACAACAGTTACCCATGCAAACTGGATCTTTTTACTAGAAGGAACAGCTAAGATAGATTTATATGCACATCCCCAAACCAGTATCCCTTGCTACTCATTATCACGTATTAACCACCCTCCTCGTACAAATTCCCACCATCTAAATGCAGCTTTAGCAACTATACCTTCTCAACATTCAAACACTGCAAGCAAATGTAAAAAAACAAAAAAGGAAATCAATAGCAGGCAAATGATAGATTCTTCCAATATCAAGATTAAACTACAAAATGTGTTCTATTTCCAGGTGCCTTTTACCTCTCTCACTCCAAAGAAATTTTCAAACTATTTCTAGATGAGCTGACACTATACCACGAAGAATAAACAGAAGTAAAGCACATTATAAGCATATAATAGCCTATGTTAAATGTTGCTTGAATTAAATGAGGGCTTTAAAAAAATAAATTTGGAGAAAACACTATTCCTATAACAATCAAGTAAGTTTATTCAATAATTACAAGATCAATAAAGAAAAAATAGCCATTCTTGGAGGAAATTTTCCGGGCCTTTATTCTATTGTACTGTGTCTCTATTGTGTCTCTGATGCAGCCTTCCAATTCCAAGGAATTAAAAATCAGGGATTCTCGGTAGACATGTTCTTGATTCTAGGAATGAGATTTATGCAAACACGGTTATTGCAGAAGCTAGAGTCTGGGGCTGTGATTAATACTACCTGTCACCGTTTGCATGTCCACAAAGACAGACTGGTTGATGGACCAGTCCGTTGAACTGCTCCTCCCACTAGGTTTTGCATCTGGCTGAGCAGTGAACACACAGTTCATTCAGCTACACTTAAAACCATTGCTTTATCGATCATAAATGACTAAGACACAAAACCAAAAATAACAGTAGGGAAACAAATCCCTTCACTGAGCTTTTTATTCTATTCTTCCTTTTTCATTTCAATATTTTATTTCAGTAATTACTACAAAGTAAAAAAATTTACAGGAATTTTTTTTTTTAATGCACAACTGCTTATGTTCAAGAACACCACTGTTCAATAGAGATTTCAGCAAATATGAAAATGTTCTAGATCCCCACTATCCAGCACTGAGCAGCTGAAGTGTAGTTAGTGTGATCGAGGAACTGAATTTTACATTTTAACATGTGGCTAAATTAATTTAGTATTAGTAGCTATACAGTACTAATGTAAGGTTAGAAAAAGTGCATATATTCTGTATATATGGATTCTAAAAGAAACTATGCAAACATACCAGTATCTGTGTGACAAAATAGCTTCTAAAAGAATGTCTACTAGGTCTTCATGAAAAAATAGTAATTACCAACAAAGAAGCATCATTGTACAAGTGTGTTATTCTGTTGTTCAATTCAAAAATTAATTATGAAGGACTACAACAGCACTTTAATCACACAAACACCACTGTGGTGGAAAACAGAATAACTAACACAACAACCAACAAATGGTGAGGTTCTTGCTAGTCCAGACTTATCAGAGTGTGTCTACTGACAAGCTAGAGTTCATGAATATTAAAAACTTCTGCTCTGAGAAAGATAATATTAAGAGAATGAGAAGACAAGCTGCAGACTGGGAGAAAATATTTAGAAAATACACATCTGCTAAAGGACTGTCATCCAAAATATACAAAGAACTCTTAAAATTAAACAATAAGAAAGTAACCAAGCTGATTTTAAAAATGGCCAAAGACTTTAATAGACAACTCATAAAGAAAATATACAGATGGCAAATGAGCAAATGAGAAGATGCTCCACATGTGTCATGAGGGAAATGCAAATTAAAACCTCTACAGGTAGAAAGACCACTACACACCTGTCAGAACGGCCAAAATCCAGAACACTGACAATGTCAAACACTAGAGAGAATACGGAGCAATAGGATCTCTCATTCGTTGCTGGTGAGAATGTAAAATGGCATAGCCACTTTGGAAGACAGGTTGGTGGTTTCTTACAAAACTAAATATACTCTTAACATATGATCCAGCAATTGTGCTCCTTGGTGTTTACCCAAGAGCTGAAACTTCCATGCACACAAAAACCTGTCCATGAATGTGCAAAGCAGCTATATTCGTAATTGCCAAAACTCAGAAGCAACCAACATGTCCTCCAGGAGGTAAATGGATAGATAAACTGGAATGGAATATTAGTGCTAAAAAGAAAATGAATTATCAAATCCACTAAAAGACAGGGAAGAAACTTAAGTGCATATTACTAAGTGAAATGCCTGTTATATGCATATAGTAGTGTAAATTAGAAGGTATTTTAACATTTTCTACAATGGGCATGTGTTACTCTTCTCTTAATAAAAAGATTAAGTATTGTTTTTAATAACATGTGATGAAAGTACCTCATTTACAATACCAAAAAAGTACATAAAATACCTTTAAAATGGGCTAAACAGGATGTTTGTTTACTATACTAAGCATGGCAAGGCTTTCCCTAAAGACATATACATAGAAATAATACTAAGTGTAGAGAAATAATCTATTATTTTTTTTTTAAAGATTTTATTTATTTGACAGAGAGAGACAGAGAGAGGGAACACAAGCAGGAGAGTGGGAGAGGGAGAAGCAGGCTCCCGCTGAGCAGAGAGTCCGATGTGAGGCTCCGTCCCAGGACCCTGGGATCCTGACCTGAGCTGAAGGCAGTCGCTTAACCAACTGAGCCACCCAGGTGCCCCAGAAATACTCTTTTAGTGAAAGATGGTATTTGAAAAAAGTCAATCCTTTCCATATTTTAAATAGACTGAACAAATTTCCCCATGACATCCTACTAGATAATTGGTTTTGTATTATTTGGAATTTGACCAAATTCTATCCATGTTCACTTACTAGAATATGCAAGAAGAGGGAATACACTTTAAGAAAGAAACTGCAAAGTGGTGGGACAGCAAGGTAAATATTAAAGCATATTTTTAAAAAATAATTAAAACCCTATGGATTTAGCCTAAGAACCCTACTTCAGATAAATGGGTAAGAGTAGGTAGCATACAACAATTCCTTGAATAAATAGGAACATAACATGAGATGAAGGGAGCACAAGTAGATGAGGGAGGAATAACTTCTTTGAAATGAGTGTTAAAATCTAGCTTTGTATCTGAGAAACAAAAACCTCTGAATTTTTTACCTTAAACTCTCCCCAAAGCAAATCAGAATAGTGTTAATTTTTTTTTTTAAATACAGCCAAAAAAAGTGTTGAACTTTAAATGATCTCTGGAAAGAGAAAAACAAAACAAAACAAAACAAAAAACAATCTGAGCATAAAGCAAAGAAAGAAATCCTTATTACAGATACTATTAGACTACACAATCGTAAAATATTTTTGGAGTGTTTAAAACATCTGGGGCAGAGGTTTCCAGTCCAAGATGACTGACTGAACCCAAACGCTTCTACTCCTTTCTTTCTATAGCTTCTTCAGAAATGACAGGAAAGCAGAATAAAGGGAACACCTAATCTCTCTGAGAATTGGTATTGAGGAAAACAAGGTGGGGGCTGGACTAGAGTCAGTGCAATGGATTTTTGACAAATCTATAGAAAACAAATGCTAAGAATAGCTTATTGAGGAATAAAAGTGAGTGGAGGAAGTCATGACCCAAAACACACAGAAGAGGCTCCTGGAGCAGAGGTGAAAAGTGCCTCCAGAATGGCTGAGAGCTGAAGTGGACCAGCCCCAGAAGCAGGAGTAGTGGGGGGAGCAAGAAATCAAAGGGAAGGAGGAGCTAGAGCAGATTCCCCATCCATTAGATCTTCCCTTCACTCCCAGTTGCATTCGCTCCCCAAAGTAAAAACGCACATCAGGTCTCTAGAGAAAGAGGTGAGGTGCCCGTAGAGTGATCGGACCTGAGAACTCAGAGTAAAAGCCTCCTTGCAGGAGGTGATGCCGGCTCTTCCTGGGTGCCTTCCAGCGAAAGCGGGGCTTCGTCTGCACAGTTTGAACCCAACCTCCAAGGTACAGGCAAGGAGCTTAAGTTTGCTGAATGACTGAACAAAACA